GGGGCGGGTTAATGCAAGATGCAGTATCTCTCTCTAGTTGCTGCGCAGCAGAATCGTGGGGGCTTGTGTTGGGTGGCAGCTTGCCAGGCCTATTCCCACCAGGGAAGCAGAGCCTGGGGATGCCCCCACCGCCATCCCAGTGGACAGGCTGTTCCGCAGCAACGCAAGCGCCGTAGCAGTTACCGTGTGGCCCATCGTGCTGTCCCTGTGCCCAGCCTGGCTTCCCTGTCCCCACTCCGTCACACAGCTGAGCCAGAGCCTGGCTTGGGCTGCTCTGGGGCCACTTGCCCCCTGGCTGTCCCAGCTCCTTGGTGTCACGTGGCTCCCCACCGCTCCCCCCTCAGTATTTAAAGATGCCCCTTGATCCTAACGGTTTCTGCACAACTCCCTGCTGGGATCCCTGTCCCGAAACCATCTCCTCCCTCCCCAAGTGCTCTTGATCTCGTCGCACCACCCCATCCCTGTCCCAATCGTCCCCATGCCCCTCCTGCACTAATACCAGGCCGGCACCTTGCTGTTCTGCATGTATCTGTTCTTGACCGGCACCATGGCCGTACGTCGCGCTCTGGCCACAGGGGTTTCTCCTCAGCTGCTCCTTGGCCTCGGGCTGGAGGGGGAGCCTCTGCCACCTGCTCCCTTCGGCACAGCACCCGGCTTCGGGGGGCTTGGGTGGCCAGGCAGGGGGGCAGACAGACAGAGAGCCTTTCCTGGTCCTCCCCTCCCTGCGCCCCCACCCCCATGTAGAGGATACAGCAGCTTTCTCTGTTCTTATCTCCGTGCGCTAGCGTGTCTTCTAAAAAAACAAAAATGGAACAAAAAAAGAATGAAACTAAATAATAATCTGGTGTTTGTATATAGTCCTTTAGAAAGATCTTGTTTTGCTTTTTGTGTTTAATCACTTGACCTATAATAAGAGGAACTGAAAATGCTGTATCAAGGACGTACAAGCTGTGCCTTTCAAATAAAGAAATAAGAAGGTTGGTTAAAACCATGACTTACTGCCTGCTTTCTTGCTGCCTTTGCTGCCTTCTCTCTTCTGCCTGCCAAAGTCGGGGACTCAGTGGGGAAGAACAGGTAGCTTTGCTGGCTGACTTTGGACTCTTCCCTGGTGCTGTCACAGCTCCTGGCAGAGCTGCCCTCCCTGATCCAGGTGAGCGTGTCCTGGACCAGCCCCTGCCTTGCCTGGTGGGATGTGCTGCCCTTCCTGGGGGAGCCCTCCTCTCCCTGTGGGTTTCTCTGAGCCAGGAGAAGGGGTTAACATTGACACCTCTGGTTCTGGCTTCTCTCTGACTCTTGTCTCCACAGCTGCTGGTAGAACAAGGACTGTCTTTGTTGCCTCCATCCCTTTTGGGGATGCCATCCCTCCCATGGGCATCCTTGCAGAGCTGCATGCCCACGCTGGAGCTTTGGCTGCGTCTGCTGGAGCCAGGGCAAGGAGGATGCCAGGGCAAAGCCAAAACAAACTGGAGAGTGTGGCAAAAGGGACCTGGGAGCTCTCGAGATAAAAAGCAAGGAGGGCAGGAGTGAAAGGCCATGGGGGGCTATCGGCTCTGTGTGGTTTGTAACACGCAGGAATGGTCCCCGTGGGCTGCTGCAAGCCTGTCTGTGCGTGCATAATTCATGTTTCCTGTGGGTGCAGAGGATAAGCTGCTTCTGTGGCACTCGGCCCCTCTGGAAAATCTGGCCTGTGTTGCCCTGGGGCTGAGATTGCTGTAATGGAATTGGCTCTCAATAATTAGAGCTGTCCTCTGGCTTCAGAGCCTGCTCTGCCCTGATAACATCTTCCCCTCCCTATCTCCTAGGCCAGCTGGAGTGGGAAAATTTCCTTCCCCGGGGAAGGAAGCTGTATTGGGGGTGTGTGTGTCTTGTACCCCCCTGGCTGCTCACCCAAGGTTGGAGGACTGTGGTGGCACAGATGGGGACCCTGGCAAAAGCCAGAAGGGGAGCAGCAGCCACTGTCCTGATGGTGCTGGGCAAAAGTCAGGCCAAATGCCCCAAGGGTGGGATTTGAGGGGATTTGCTGAACCAGCTCCGTCCCGGGACCAGGTGTGACTCCAGAGTGGTGGCCCTTGGGCTGGGGCCATGTCTGCTGTGGTGGGAGAGGCCTGGAGAGAGGTGCATGGTGCTGCACGAGCACTTGCAGGGCTGCAGCTCTGCTCAGCACCATTTCTGGGGGGCTCCTTCTGGCGCGGACCAGCCCGTTGCAAAGAGGGGATGAAGGGACTGGTGTCCAGCTTGGTCTTGTGTCCCACTGTCCTGGGAGCACTCGCCAAGCCTGGCACAGCTGGGCTGTGTCCCCAGATGGGTGACAGAGCCTGGGGGCAGAGTGGAGGCTTGACAATGCCCTGTTATCTGCCTGAAATGCCAGGCCAACACAAAATGGGGGTGGGGGGCTAGTTCCTGGTACGGGCTTGCAAGGAACCGGGGGGGGTCTGTGGAGGAGCACAGCCCCTGTGGTGGCCTTTGAACTCCAGATGCTGGCTGGGACTGCAGGGCTGCCCTGTCCCCTGCCAAACAGGGTGCCTCACGCAGGGCCCAATGCTCCCGTGGGCAGATGCCGAGGGAGCCTGTGGCGGGAGTGGAGCCGCTGCTGCTGCGTGGCAGGGGCTGGCCTGACCTCAGCACCTTTGGGGGTCCGGAACAGTGAGCAGACAGGTCCAGGGCTGCCCCCCGGCACCGCACAGGGATCCCGGCCAGGAGCCATCGGAAACGCTGCCAGGAGCTGCATGACCCACGGCCGCGCGTCTGCTCCGAGGGACCCGCTGGCGCTGAGCAAGCAGGTTTCCGATGTGAAAGGCCAACACGGCTTCAGGCCAGGGGCTGCTGCGGTGGACGGTTGCTAAAACCAC